ATGTTGGTGAAACCAAAAGAAAAACCAATACAGTGGCTTCGATTTTGAAAGAAAATATAAGAAAAATGTCGAAATGATGATATTTTAGAGGTTGTAATGAGAAAATAAACGGCAACGATAGAAAACAGTACAAACCCCAAAAAAGGGCATGAAATTTGTGCTGAGAAACGAAGGGTGCGAGAACATGTTCCGGGGAAAAGGGCCATGAGATTCTAATTTGAGCATAGAAAAACACGCGCGGGAATTTGTTTTCGGGCACGGAGGAAATTTAAAACACCATTATATCGGTTTGTGTGACGTAACACGTAAGGGATTAAATTTGTACTTTACTACACGTAAAATAACAATTGAAACTACGTTAATTGAGGCATTGGGAACATTACTTTAACATTCCGAATGTTACCAGCGTAGGCTGCTTAGATATGAGTACTGTGTTTTTTGCTTCAATTTAACGTCCTGAATGCTTTGCTTAACAGTCTGAGTATCAGGAGGGGAGGAGTCCTCTTCTTCCTCTTTTTAAGATCCCTTCTTCCTTTTTTAGGCACATGCAAGACTGAATGAAGAATGTGGATAATACTAGGATCTACGGAAGTCTACGTGAAAAATTTAATGTATTAACATTCTGTACCTTAAATCAAACATTCGGAATGGTAAATTAACATTCCCAATGCCTCCATTAACATAGTTTCAATTGCTATTTTACGCGTAGTAATGCATATTTGCATTTTCTCCCTCACGTACAGGTAGTTTTGTTGTCTAATTGTACTCATTGAGCAGCTCAACATTTCCATGTACTCAGCCCGCGTTGTATTTTTTAGGTACACGATTTGTTGAGCAGATCGCGCCGTACAAACACTAGTTATTTTTTGCGTAAGTACATACACCTCAACTGGTTACAAACCGCGCGGACTGAATTTTGTAACCAGAATTTTGTAACCAAACCCTTCCTTAAGGAGAGCCCATATTTTTACACGATACTACTAGTAGTGTGGTTACAAAAAAAAGGGTCTGGTTACAAAAACAGGCACACCGGTTCCCTTGTGCGCACTTGTAACCAGACGTTTGCACCTCAACAGGTACACTGTAGAGTACTAAAAAAGAAAATTAAGTGGGAACTAGCAGTACAAACTCATGTAGAAAATACAGTAGAAATCAAAGTTGTCCTCCTCCATATCAGCAACTCGTATCGTATCAGCGCCTCCGTATCAGCGACTCATATCAGTGTCCTCTGTATCAGCCTTATCAGCATCCTCCGTATTGTATCAGCGCCTCTGTATCAGCAACTTGTATTGTATCAGTGACCTCCGTATCGTATCAGCGCCCTCCATATTGTATCAGCGTCCTCTGTATCAGCGGCTTGCTCCTCCTCTGGTGTATTGTATCAGCGGCTCGCTCCTCCTCTGTATCGTATCAGCAACTCATATTGTATCATCAGCAGCTCGCTCCTCCGTATCAGCAACAATTTGCTGAGTAGTTTCTGCTGAGTACATGGAAATGTTGAGCTGCTTCAATGAGTCTGTAAAATAACTGTGGAAGAGCTCTGCTTTCAGCGCAACAAGTACCTTCAACACTAACAAGCTCTCGAGCTACTAAAGCTCTCGAGCTTGTTAGTGTTGAAGATACTTGCAGTAACCTCACTTCGATCTCAAGCTAAAGCTCTCGATCTCAGTGATGTTACTGGTGTACCGAAATAGCTCTCGAGCGCACAGTACAAAACTTTTCCCACACAAATAACACGGACCTCAATAGAGTACATTTTCTGGTACGATTTCGGTACACGCGCTGCGCGAGCTCCTCCACAATTCACATACCTCGTACTGGTACTTACGTACGGGTTGGAGTACAAAGCACTCATAACCCACCGCTCGCCGCTCACCGCTCACCGATTACCGTTCACCGCTCACCTGACAGTCGTAACGGTACGTACGTACCGGTACCGGTGCCATTTGAGTTTCAGTCCATCAACCAGATTTCTTGTGATGTTGTTTTTGTTGTCCATTATCATTGAGTACGAAAACAAAGATTCCACAATGGTTGAAAGAAACGAAAAATTCTATGGCATACCGCTTGTTGAAGATATATGGGATTTTCCAGCATTGCAGCTCTCGACCCTTTGCATCCTTGTGTTTGTAATAATATTTCAACCTGACGGATTATGCAAGACTAAGAGCAGGTCGCTTACATTTTGGGTTACCATTGGAGCAGTTGCCATAGCCACACCGGAGACGACATTGAATCTGATTTTGTCAACAATTATCCACACCCGGTCGACCTATGCCTATATCATTGTGATTCCGCATTCGTTCATCGCGGCAGCAACATATCGATCAAAACACGGGAACAACGTCCATTATCTTCAGTCTTTCCTACTCGCATTTTTCTTGTATGGGTTCGGGGGGTCTATCGTTTCCGATCTATTGATGGGGCTTCCCGTGACAGCTCTTTCTCATGCAAGAATAGTGCCGTGCTATATCATTGGTTGGTCGTTGGTGTGGTTGTTTCCGTTCGATTTGCTGTTTAAGAAGTACAGCAACACCTCTTCGTCGTTGCACTATTTCCTAAATGCTTGCGAAGCCATCGATTCTGTCACTACCCCGATGGGACGCATATCACGAAGTGCTAGGGAGCTGGGTAATAAGACGTCGGCGCCCATTGTGGCTGGATTGTTTGCCGGTTTTGGTGGGGCTGGTGTCAGGCATGCTGTAGGAGAATCGGCGTCTATCGCAGCATTAGAGGCAGGATTTTGGAAAACACTTTCGTATTCGTTGTTATGGTGGTGGCTGGCGGTTCACAAGTGTCAAGACGAAGGCGGAAATATTCCCAATGAGCAAGAGCGAGATATTATGCGAGAAAATAATAATTGTGACTCCTACAGTGGAAGTGATTTGCTGCGATTAATTATGGTTGGTACGCATACACTTTGGACGATACTAGTTGGAATGGGCCTGGTGAGTGGGCACCCACTTGTATGGTTTTGCAGGGAGGTCATGATCAAAAGAATAGGATCAGGATTCGCCCGATTTTTTCGGATAGCCCAGGCATCAGAAGCGAAACCTTCGCAGAAAAAGGTGAAGGTCAGCAAAAAGAAGAGTACCGCAAAAATCAAAAAACAGGATTAGGACATCATCACAAAGAGAAACTTGATCTAAGCCATAATCTAGCTACAACTAAACGAAAATATTTTCGGCCAAAATCTCCTTTTGAGGGGGTCGCTATGTCTAGTCCTGATTATAGCCCCACAACGAGTTGAATCTATGCATTTTACGCTTTTTTTATCAACGTTATGTATATTGGTGATCGATTGTGAGAGTATTTGATTTTCGCTTCATATCTTGCTCACATTCCAATACAAAATTGACCACAAAGGCTTTTGACGACGCAAAAGAAAAGTTTGAATCTCTAATCCTCCTTCATTTCAGCATCTTCGTCTTCGCTTTTTTTGTTATCGTCTTTGCCACTATCCACCTTCTCTTTCTCAACACTCGCTAAGACACAATCCAGAAACGCCTGTATGGGAGATTTTCCCTCGGAAAGAGCCTTCTGTCCATCAGCGGCATCCAACTGAAAGTTGGCCAAAACTGAATGGTAACCGTCCGTGCTACCATTGTCATCGGGTAATAACGCTGCCGTCAATGAACGTAGCGTCTGATAATGAGTGAAGATCCGGCACGATTGTACAATCGAGTCGATTCGATGTCGAAAATAATATACAAGTGAAGTCAAACAGAACATTTGTCGAAGCAACGAGGAGAAAATTATTGAGGCATCTGTTTAAAACAGTGTTTCATGTTTACCAAACATGCAAGATATGGAAGTGGATAAAACAAGAATGAAATGAAATCGTACCTGTTGAACTTGTGGGCTGCGGAGGCAAGATTCGAGGAACTCTGGTGAACGCTGTTCTTCCGGGAGTTCTTGCAACAAACGATTGCGCACAGCTTCGTCGGCTAAAAGACTACTTATAGCACCAGGGGTAACAACTTCGTGCAACCCAGGTGTGTTTGTATTTTCCTGCTGTTTTTGGACACCACCCATGGCGCTTTGCAGGTCGGCTAGAGTGAGGATTCCACCAGTGCCAGCTGGAGCTGCTCCGGCGGAACCTTCAGCACCCGTGCTGCTTTTGTCAGCCCCCTGTGGCATCCCAAGATTTTCCAAAATGTTGCTTAGGGCATCTACCTGTCGCGTCGTTGTTGAGACGCTCGACGGAGACCGTGCAGAAACTGGGTCGCTCGCACTCGCTGTAGCATCAGCGGCCTCTTCTGAACCTTCCGTCGACGGTTTGGTTGGTTCTTTGAGTACTGCATTCACCTTTCCGATAAGCTCTGGGTCTTCTTCCTTGTCCTGTAGCCAGAACATTCTCCATTCGCTGTCCAACTTCCAGTAATAAACTCGGTCGTTGCAATCTGCGTCTTGAGACTTCGGTACGTCGGCGCGTTCGAGATTCACGGGATCAGTGATGCAAATTGTGTCCATCACTTTCTTTTCCCGTCGATCATACCATTCCCAGATAAGTTTGGAGTCCCCGTTGTACTTTAGATTCACTTGGCACCGGCGAGTGTCGGGAGTCGCCAAGAATTTACCGTTTTCCTGAAGCGCGAGCTCTACCTTGCCGGCTTTGAAACTCAGCAGAGGTTTGTCTTCGTCACTGTCATTATTGCTGTTGCGAGCATTGCTCGACGACGAACCATTGGGGTTTCCTCCGAGTGCATCAAAGAGGTCGGAATACATTGTTGTTTGTTTTGTTATCGTTACCAAATTACAGCACTTCGACGTAAAACAGTGATGTCTTCGATTCTCGATTGATGGAAAAAACAACACAATCCGAAAACGGCAACAACAAGCACCATTCGAATATCTTCGAAAAGCATCGTTTTCTTCTATCAGAATCGTTACGCTGTTTTCAAAGTTAAGACTAGTGCAGTCTTTGATTCTCGCCGTCTAGTCTAGCCCGTCGAAGCCACTGGCCGGCCGGTATGTATGTACAGCGCGTACAGTACCAGTAAGACGTCTACGAGGAATACTTTATCCTTCCTTCATCTTTTTAACGCAAAATTTCGTCGTTGATTGTTGAATATTGATCTGCCATGTTCCAACAAGTGTATGAGCACACTCAACACTAAAATAGATCCATAACTACTACAGTAGTAGTAGTATTACTACTACTACTACTATTAGTTGTACTTCTAGTACCAGAACTACTATGGCATTCGCTGCTGTGGGGGTAGACCCCCACCACTGCTGTAGTGCATCTCTTCTTCTTGGTGGTGGGCAACATCTGTCACCACCCAAGAAAATCATCCACTCACCACTCCTCATACTACTAGCAGTGCTACTTGTAGTAGTAACTACTATATTGCATTTTGATATCAGATAATATCCTTAGTACTCTAATTGTTTCCTTGGCCTTTGGTGGTTATTACTACTAAATGCTGATAGTACTACTACTACTACTACTACTACTACTACTACTACTAATAATAATAATAATAATAATAATAATAATAATAATAATAATAATAGTCTTTACTGTTGGTAATAGTAGATTGAATTAGCATGCTCTAAGAAGGCTGCCTTGGGTCAACATTGAGTCAAAAGACAGGAAGTAGGAATTATGAGAGGTATTATTCTGGAGATGATATTCCTACAATTAATCAGAATTGATGACTATTGAATATGGTGCTATAAAGAATAATGAGTGAAACTACTACTATGATCAGCAATCATGAAACTGATTGCAATGGCCTCTATGTGACTCAAACAAACAGGTAAGAGGGTCACATAGAGAGTAATTTGGTCATTTGTCAAGTGCTGTTTTGATCCATAAGAAATCCCATCAACAACTATGATGTCTTGAGAAGTCATGAACATGTCTTGAGACATACTACCAGAGGTGGATAGCCTGCAAATTCAATACCTCCACTCTTGTCATTGCAAAGTTTCACTTGATTATAGAAAGTATGTTAGTAGTAGTCCTGACTTGACCATCTGTGTGACCTTAAACCCACCAGCAACCATTAATATGTAGGTTGACTTCAGAAATAACTTTTGAAATGCCATAGATATCTACCTTTAAACTACCCCCAACATTGAAGATCACAGTCTTCAATACCCTACTGTGTCAACCTTAGCTAGTATCGAAGGTTACATTAACAATCCTTGAGGAATTCTTTTTTGTTCTGAATCATTCAGGGTTTGCACCTTTTTCTTTACTCCAGTTACAAGCAAAGGCAGGACTGATATAGATCAGTATTGAGAGTGCCAAATGCTGTCAGTGTGAATATGTTCCTTTGAGATATCACTTGATTTAAACTATGTTGCACTTCATGCAATCACTTTTGTCAGGGCACATATTGGTTGGCAGCTTGAGGTATGGGCATGGATACAATGATGATGGTGTGGCCTGCAAGATAGTTCAGTTAGAAACAACAGAGGTGAACTTAAACTCTTCACAAGCATGTTCTTCAACCTCGTCAGAGTGAAAGAAATTGGTACAGGAAGTCTTCTATTGGGTCACTGTGGAGTCGCTCGGATGGAGATCATCGATGATATTTTTTATGAGACCTCATTGTGTTCCTCATCTTTTGGTAAGCTTTCGTATTGTAGTCCCCATCGGGCGAAGTAAAAATTCAATGTTATAAATTAACTTTGTTAGCTATTCTGAACATATGTTTCGGATACAACAATCCCTCACCCGATGAATCCGCAAAATCGATCATTTCTATCAATTCATTCTCGGTCATATCTTCTCCAAGTACTGAGCATGCTCGCTGCAAATCTTCCAAAACGACTACTCCCTTGCCAGCGTTGTCTATCAACTGGAACGCTCTGTTAGATTTCTCCATTTGAATTGACTTATCCGCTGCGAATCTTAAAAACATGTCCGCATCGAGTGCTTCCAAGTTCTCGTCGTCAAAATATGATTTGATTCCGTCTAACTTTAATCCTGACAATTTCAGTTTCTTCAAGGGCTTTTTCAAAAAGGAATTCGGCAAAAACTCGTTACTTGTTTCATCATTCTCGTTATTGTACGATTCCAATGCTGTTTTGAAACAGAGTAGAATTTCCTTGCGCCTAGATTCGTCGATCAAGTCCTCAGGCGGTAGGACAACTCTGTTCGGCGACGAAGACCGAGTCCGTTTTCGCTTTTTCTTTGGAGGCTGGGAAAGACATGTTTCGTAAATTAAAATGGCATGAATTGTTGGTTGCTGCCGTGAGAGAGTCATAAAAACCAACCACCTAATGTATTCTTGAATTTGAATGCAAGGGAGAGTACTAATTCGGCGCTATCATCAGCCCGTAACTTCAGCCGGAGTACGTACCATACTAATCCTTGCACGTCAATGCCAAACAGCTGAGTCCCTTTATCTAACAGCATAAGCAAAGATGCAATCCTCGTTCACATCAACTGGTTACTCCAGAGAGATTGTTCCCGTAGTTCTGATAGTTTTGGGTTCAAAATCGAAAAGCTCGCAACCAATCCGGCACGACTGCTGCATTGTGATAGAAGCCTTTTCTTGTTATTCATCGACGGTAAAAAAATGTGAAGTACGTGTACTGTGTCAACGACGGGTTACAGTACTCTATTCAGCAGTAAGTCACACCGGTCCGAAGATAACAGTACTACTGTAAAATAGAAAGAAATCATAACTTTAAGGGGGCGCGAAACGCATAAAAACAAAAATCTCATATGGTACGGTACATTGTACGGTTGTGCACTGCTGACATTTTTTACGTAACCGTTGAGCAGCTCAACATTTCCATGTACTCAGCTCCCGTGGTATTTTCTAGGTACATGATTTGTTGAGTAGATCACCCACACAAACACTAGTTATTTTTTGCCCAAGTACATGCACCTCAACTGGTTACAAACTGCGCGGACTGAATTTTGTAACCAGAATTTTGTAACCAAACCCTTCCTTAAGGAGAGCCCATATTTTTACACGATACTACTAGTAGTAGTGTGGTTACAAAAAAAAGGGTCTGGTTACAAAAACAGGCGCACAGTGCGCTTTGTGCGCGCTTGTAACCAGGCATTTGCACCTCAACAGGTACACTGTTAAGTACAAAAAAGAAAATTAAGTGGGAACTAGTACAAACTCATGTAGAAAATACAGTAGAAATCAAAGTTTCCTCCATATCAGTAACTCTTATCGTATCGTATCTGCGGCTCCTCCGTATCAGCAACTCGTATCGTATCAGCGCTGGCTCCTCCGTATCGTATCAGCAGCTCCTCCGCTGTATTGTTTTAGCGCTGGCTCCTCCATATCATACTATCAGTGTCCTCCATATCAGCATCCTCTGTATCGTATCAGCAGCTCCTCCACCGTATCGTATCAGCACTGGCTCTTCCGTATCGTATCAGCGCTGGTGACTCCTCCGTATCAGCAATTTGCTGAGTACATGGAAATGTTGAACTGCTTCAACKGTTACGTAAATAACTGTGGAAGAGCTCTGCTTTCAGTGCTACAAGTACTATCTTCAACACCAACAAGCTCTTGAGCTAAAGCTCAAGAGCTTGTTGGTGTTGAAGATAATACTTGCAGTAACCTCACTTTGATCTCGAGCTAAAGCTCTCGATCTCAGTGATGTTACTGGTGTACCCAAATTGTACCAGAAAATGAAGCTCTTGAACACACAGTACAAAACTTTTCCCACACAAATAACATGGACCTCAACAGAGTACATTTTCTGGTACAATTTGGTTACACGCGCTGTGTGAGCTCCTCCACAGTTACTATATATGAACGCAACGGTGCCCTACTGGTAGAGCAACTCATTTTCGGGTTTCCCAAAGTGTACAAAACGAATGGCATAAAACGTAAATCCTAAATCCTCTACAGTACCAGTACCTGGTACCATAGGTACCGTATTTGGGTAATCCAATTTTTGCTTGGTCGAGCACATGTCGAGACCCTAAGTAAATGAAAAAATGAGGTATTTAAATGGGCTCAATGGACAAAAATGAAAGTGGTACTTTGGTACTCACTTAGATTACTCCGGTACCACCACATGGTACTCTGGTACCATCTCTTACTATGTACTTCCAGTACGATCTCTACTGCTATCTATGGTGCTGCTCTGAGTTGGTGCTGATACAGAGCTGCTGATACGGAGGCTCGGTGATACGGAGGATGCTGATACGGAGGAGCTGCTGATACAGACAATGCTTGCTGATACAGAGGATGCTGATACTACATACTAGGAGCTGCTGATATGGACAAGGCTCTCTGATACGGAGGATCATGCTGATATTGACAAGGCTTGCTGATACGAGTTGCTAATACGGACAACGCTGGTGATATGGAGGATCCAGGGAGGGATAAGAGCCCATTCCCCTATATCAGAAGAGGCAATGCTTGTAATTCATCTGTTGGATCCAGATAGGGACCAGGGAGAGATAAGAGCCTATTCCCCTAAATTGGAGGAGGCAGTGCTCGTAGTTCAGTTGCTGATACAACAAACAAGAACACTGATACGGTAGATGCTGCTGATACAGAGGACAGCACTGATACAGAGGATGCTGATACGGAGGCCCGCTCGCTGATACGGAGGCTCACTGATACGGACAACAATGATACGGACCGACAATGCTGATACGGACTGACAACACTGATACGGAGGACGCTGCTGATACGGACCAACAAACACTGATACAGAGGACAACAATGCTGACAAAGGACCACACTTACAGTTCTTCAAAGGAGGCCTATTCCCATGGTCAAGCCTTTGAAAGTGAGCTAGATTTAAATAATGAGTATTGCAGCTGCAGCAGTTTTGAGAGTGAAATCCAAAAAAAGCAGCACAGCACAGTAGAATGTAGTACAGATTCTACTGAATGATGCATTTTGAAAGTGTTACTTTGGTACCATCTTGTACTAAGCCTATGTAAATCATGTAGGAATACATGCAGGATTTTTGTTGGTACCATCTTCTACCAGGCCTTGTAAATCACGTAGCAATACAGGTTTTTTGTTGTCCCCGCAGGTTTTTTGTTGTCCCCCCGGAAAAGCAGCAACAAAGAGCAGTCGACAATGGCAAAACAAGAAGGGTCTCCTCCACTCTGCTCAACCTCGCAAGCATTGGATTACACAACTAACACCCCTATCCTCTTGTCCTCCTCCTCAGGCGAGGTCCTCGGAAAAGGAGCCTTTCAAAGCAAAATTCACCAGCTCACTTGCCTCGGAGTCGTTTGGTGGCACGTGCTGTCCCTATCTAAAAAGAAATTCGAATTTTCTTTTAGATAGGGACGAGGACTCCTAATGTCAAGCGCAATAAAGTCAAGTACTTGGCAATTCCCCGGGTGTCAATTTTTTTTATTTTCCCGTCTTTATTTCTCCTCTCCCCCTCCTCCACGAAAAAAAATAAGTCCGAAAATATTTCTATTCCTGGTACTTACTACAGAGAATATCAAATCAGTGCTTATCTCAAGTATTAAGGACCACTAATAGAAATATTTTKGGACTAGCAAGAAATTAAACAATGGAAATATTTTTATTTTCGTCCATTGGATGCCTTTTTTTAACTGTAAAAATGAGCTAAAATTTTCTATTAGTATTTGTACGGGGATTGCCAAGTACTTGACTTTAGTGCGCTTGTACTTAGGAGTCCTCATAGGGACAGCACGTGCCACCAAAATCAGAGGATGGGGTGTTACTTTAGTACTTTGATTTTTTTTGTGTTACATGGCATGACACAAAAAGTGTCAACCCGAAGTCTATGCGCGCAGTTTCTTCACCAGCAACCAACGCTGCGAAGGGAGAGTGGTTACTGTACAGGAAGAGCAAGAAACACTTACCCTTGCGAAAAAGATGGAAACAACATTTCAGACTGAAGACACGCTGTGTTATCAAGGAAGCAGCTCGCAGGGCGTGCGTACGTACGGTTTCACAACATCTTTTCTCACTGACAGAGTTGACGATGGTATGAGTAGGGAGACGTCAAGACATCTGTCGACGAAGAGATTTCAGGGTGAGTTCTGAGAGATTGAGAACGACCCATCTTCTTCCGAACGAATGACTGGATGAAGTGTGATTCGTTGGAATGCCATTCATTGAAAGCGAAGCGAGTCGATTGGAATAATGTATTCAAGTCTTCTCGTTCGTGCCATTTGCTAATGTGGCGACGGCCGCGACGGTCGGGCGATGCGTGCAAGCGTCGGTTCCACTTTTTACCAGTGTACCAGCACCATAGTGCAGTAATGAAAGAATGAATTATGCTCGAGACTCCAAAGGATTACAAACCTGGAAGCTATCTATTATTATCTGAATTTATTTGACGATAACTTCCATGTGCGCTATGATGGATTTTCGAGCAGTTCTCTAACCTTCTATGGGTACTCGTACCATATCATCTCTGTAGAAATTCGCTCACGTCTCATTCGTTGGTATTTATTTTGCACATTCAATTCACAGTCTGCGGTCACAGAACATAATCGTGCTGTTTCCTTTTACATGGGATAACAAATAAGAGGACGGAAAAGAAGGATGTGGAATGGTCCACTTCCGTCCGTAAAAAAGTTGATCATTCGGTTCATATTTCGTAGCAAAGTAATTGTACGAAAGGATCCATGACTCTTGTCGAAAGAACAAGCGCTATTCTTGTCGGAAAGCTAGGATATTGATACTAGGTAGAATACAGAATTATCTCTTGGCTTCGAATTAATAACATGCATACGTCATATGGGTGTTGCAAAACAGAATTGGCGCTTATTTCTCGAGTTAAGACGCCAACATGTACCGAGATGGAAAGTTGAGCGAATAAATGGAAGGGATTGATTTGGGGGCGAATCAATCTGTAACTCTTCATCTCGCTGGAAGAGGAAATAGAAATAGGCTTGTGAAATGGCGGTGTAATTATGGTCCTGTAAGGTACGGCACTGTACTATTATTTGAACTTGTTTTGAAATTTTTGGATGAAATCTTTCGCCCAATCGTGGGACAAGTAAAAACCTAACAGACGATTTACCGAGCCAAACACTTCGATTCGAGCATCAAAGAGTAGCTTCTCACCATTTCTTATATCTTTGGTTCTTGTCTCATTCAAAATCAATGCATCAATTCCAATTCTTACAATGTCTATTTATGATTACAGGAACAACCAAGTTAACACCTTCGAGCGAGATGTGCGTAAGCAGATTGCCAAGGAATTGAAGGAATGGGGTATCGATCCAAAGAAAAGCAAGGATCATGAAGACTTTTGGCGTGAAGTATCGAATCAAGCTGTTGCAGCCACAAAACATTCTTCCTCTTGTGCTATCTCGATCGAAACATTGTTTACTAACACAATAGCCCTGTCGAGAGAAGTCGCCGAAGCCGTTCGCCAGGTCCTTCGTAATGAATTGGAGGATTCAGTAGAATTCACATTTACTAATGCAAGCGACTTACTCGAGTTTGATTTTAAACCATTCTATTTTGTGTTCGATAAGTCATCACGAAGCAACGTCCTTCAAAGAAGATTCGAACTAAAGAAATACAAATTGAAGGAGCTCGACCCATTTCATCGTTTTGAAGGAATTGAACATTCCGCCGAAGATTGGTTTCGCAAAATATGGAAAACGACATCCCTAGGGGGGTACGTTTTTGAGGCTTTGGTTGCTCATCATATGGTTCACCACATGCAATGCAAATCGTGCAAGTGCCGTAATCAAATGTTCTGGAATGGCGGTATTAATATATCTGGATCTTGGGCAGATGTAGTATGCCGTAAATGCAAGGCGTCTTATGAGATCAAATCAGTCTCATCAGATGATGCAATTGAGAAAAGAATCAAATTTAATTCATTTCCTGGTGGTTCCTTTCGACAATATTACAAAAATCCAGCCCAATTCAAAGAGAGGTATCTCGTCATTGTGAGCAGGAAGGAAACTTACGTCAAGAAATTGGAAATGGTTCACCGAGTTTCTCTGGCTAGGATTCGAAATGTTGAGCCAAGACTTTGTGGTGAATCCTTTGTCGGAAGAGGATCGCACATCCGTATAATTTCGAACATCAACATCGAGAAAGGATCTTTGGAAAAGGCCTGGTGCTACGTAAAACCCATTGCAGATTACACTGCCATGGCTAAAGAAGTATTCAATAACTTTTATGGAGATGGTGCTTGGACAAAAGAAAATTCTAAAGAAATTGAAAATAATGAGCATGAGAGCCCTTCCAAATCTCGACTCGAAATTGCAACACCTAATGAAGAAGAGAAAGTTGAACAACTACGAGAAAACCTGAAACAGGAACTTCGGGTAAGCAGTGACGATGATGAAGATTGGGAAAGCTTGTACTAAATTGATAAATCATCTGAAGGATAATAAAGTAATATCGTAGAGCGTTTGTTAAGTGAAAAAATAGAAGAACGAAAATCCTAACAGCACGACCAGGCTTATTTGAATCTCTAGAAGTTGCATGAACGAGTTTGTATTTACGCAAGCCTTGTAGCGTCAGAAATATGAGACCACATCTAAACAATAAACATTAGAACTCAAGGTAAGATCAGTGAAACATCTCAGTTTGGAAAAATCATGTCAGAATGAGAATAGAACAAATGTAAAAAGGTATAGGAAAGATACCACAGCCTAGCTACCAGATAGGCAGAGTTTTCTGTGATATAAAGCAGGAGAGGAATGGAAGAACCTCCATGTAGATTCCTTACCAGGTCTACACGAGGTTCCAATCGGAACTTTGGAATTCTCGTGAAAGCGCTCGGTATTCTACGAATAAATCTAATCTTATAATTTTCAATTTTCATACACACTTAAACATACTAAGAGTACACGTAATCTCGTGCACAGTAATTACTAACTGATTTTCGTGTATCGAAATTAATCATCCAATAAGAAAAACAACAAAAAATACCACATTGACCATGGTGAAATCAACCAACTCAAACTCCTCTTCACCAAATCGAAACTCATATCAATCATGCCTTACCCTTGAGGATAAGTTCAAGGAGAGTGATATCAAAGAGATCAGCCTTTTTGTGGATGATCCGGCAAGAACAGAGACCACCGGAAGAGGATCCAATCTAAGGACAATCCTTTCTTTGCATTGCCTCTAACACCGTCCACTCAAACACCAGAGGAGAGCTTTGAATTCTATGGCCTTGATAATGAAGAAGCTCTTAAGAATCCAACCTCAGTGACCTTGCGAGCTCTGAAAACACCACCGGATGTGCAGGATGTACTACCAGCAGTCATCCTAGTATGCAAAGCCATCCAAGGCCTACTGACAATGAACACCTTCAAAGTTCTCCTAGATAGTGGAAGTACAATGTGTCTTATTCACGAGCGTTACCTTCCACCAGGAACAGTGCCCTTCCAAGACCAATTCAGCTCAGTTACGACTACAGCCTAGGGAAGCTTCGATACTTCTAAGTATGTCTTTGTCTCTAACATACGGCTCCCTGAGTTTGGCAATGGCAAATATACCTGAGGGATCAATGCAAGGCTTTTCTCAGCCCCTTGTAACTACGATATGATCCTAGGACAAGACTTCCTAATGTTGACTGGGATAGACCTCCTCTATTCCACTCGCACTATTAGATGGTTAGGCTCAACCATCGATATGAAACCAGTAGATCATTTCAATGATCCCCAACACGTGGCAGAAGCCATGTGGATTGCAGAGGATGATGAACTCTTAGATGGAGGATTCCTAGAGTTTTATATACTCCCTCCAAGCAGCTGCCAACCACAAAACTGCAGACGTGCAGTCGGTTTGGACAGTTATTTTGCAGCAGATGCTGCCAGAGCTACTAGTACTTAGAGCCCAATCAAATACTCAATGCTAAATACCAACGAGTGACTCCGGAAGAGGTTGCAAACCACMAGGAGCATATGAACAGTTCAGAAAGACTAGCATTCAAAGAAATGTTAGCCAAACACCAGGAGTTGCTTGATGGAAAACTAGGTCAATATCCTCACAAAAAGATCCACATTGATCTACAGGATAATGCAGAACCAGTTTACATAAATCCATACCCAGTCCCTTACAGACACACGGATGTCTTCAAACGGGAATGCCAACATCTAGTTGATGAGGGGGTTATTGCCCCCACTGGCAATTCAGAATGGGGGTTTCCAGCCTTCATCATTCCAAAAAAGGACGGCAGAGTCAGATGGCTCGTCGATCTGAGAGAATTAAACAAAAGGATAAAGAGACCTAAGTTTAATCTCCCCAAGATTCAGGACATCATGAACCCGAGAACGCGTTATGATCATTTCACCAAAATTGATCTGTCTATGATGTTTTACTGCTTCAAATTGGATGAAGAAAGCCAACAGATTTGCACTCTCACTACAATGCACGGCAATTACAGATGCCTCAGATTGCCCATGGGACTAAAATCATCTCCAGATTATGCCCAGGCATTCATAACCAAGATCCTGGTCAACCTTGATGTTGAAGTGTATATCAATGACATGGGGATTTGGTCCAGCGGACCATTCAGCACTCACCTGTCTCTGGTAGACCCAGTTCTTCAACGTCTAGCATCAAATGGAATGAAATGCAACCCACTGAAGTGTGAATGGGCAGTGAAAGAGTCTGATTTCCTTTGCTATTGGCTCACCCCTACTGGTGTCAAGCCTTGGCAGAAGAAGGTTGAGGGGATTCTAAAGATGGGAATTCCTCAAAATCAATCACAGGTCCGGTCTTTCCTGGGTGCAGTGAACTATTACAAATCCATGTGGCCTCGTCGATCACATGTATTAGCCCCACTAACAGCCCTCACTGGCTCTGGGCCTTATACATGGACCCTGGAATGCAATCAAGCCTTTCAGGAAATGAAAGCTCTTCTTGCGCATGATGCAATCAACACCTTTGCCAATTTGGAAGAACCCTTTCATATTTACACCAACGCACCTGATTATCAGCTTGGTGCAGCAATACTCCAGAATAACAAACCAATTGCCTACTGGTCCAAGAAGCTAAACAAAACCCAAATGAATTACACCACAATGGAGAAGGAACTGTTAGCGGTGATCCTGTGCCTCAAGGAATACTGGAATATGTTATACGGTGGCAGGATCAACATCTACACTGATCATCGGAACCTAATCTTCCGGACGCTGTCCCAGTCCCTAGTTCTCAGATGGAAATTAAGCCTTGAGGGCTTTGATATCACCTGGCAGTATATTCCAGGCAAGAAGAATGTTCTTGCAGATTGCTTCTCTAGAGTGCCCAGAATGGATCGGTGCACTGTCCGGGATAAAGAAAAGAAAATATATGAACAAAATAAGGGAACAGTGGTGAATTTTAAAGAATTAACAGCCCAGGTGGATCCAGAGGATGTTCTCTACTTGGAACCAGAACTATACGAGTGCTTGCTCAATTTACCACCAGTATCAGAGATGGAGAATCCAATAACAAATGCAAGTCTCTACACTTATCAGCTCACAGACCCCCAGTGTCAACACCTACTGGAAACTGATCCAACACACTATGTCAAACAAAGAATAGGCACATTTGAGCTACTCACAGTGTCCACGAATGATAATAACTGGAAAATCTACTTGCCTGACAGCCTCGTAGACAAGACCCTCAGATGGTATCATCTACTATTAGGGCATTGTGGAAGCACTTGGTTATATGAAACTATCAGTGCTCGATTTTATGCCCCACAACTCAGCCTAAGATGCAAACAATATCAGTGTCCGGATGAGTGCCACAGATTCAAACAACAAGGACAGGGACATGGGTTATTGCCAGCTCGGGAGGCTCAGCTTGTTCCATGGAATGAAGTATGTGTGGACTTGATTGGTCCTTGGAAAATCCTTTCCCCGGATGAAACTGAATTAGTGATCAATACCCTCACTTGCATTGATCCAGTCATTAACCTATTGGAAATCATCAGAATCAACAACAAATCAAGTGAGCATGTGGCTGAGCAGTTTTCTAACTGTTGGTTGTCAAGATACCCACGACCCAACAGATGTGTTCATGATAATGGTACAGAATTCATCGGAACCCCATTCAAACAGTTACTGAATCAATACGGAATAAAGAGTGTCCAAACTACTGTTAAAAATCCACAGGCAAATGCAGTTTGTGAGAGAGTTCATCAGACAATTGCCAATGTTCTACGAGCGACCCTTCACACAAGCAAGTCACTTGAAGAAGCTGAATTTGATGAAGATCAGATTATCGACAATGCCCTCGCCTCAGCTATGCATGCTACCAGGTGTGCAGTGAATGCAGCAGTGAAGACATCACCAGGAGCTCTTGTTTTTAACCGTGATATGGTGATGGACATCCTACTGATTGCTGATTTAAATCTTATCAGAGACAAACGACAACACCAAATCAATGAGAATCTTAGGAGAGAAAATGCTCGGAGGATACCCTTCAAGTATCAGGTTGGGCGACAAGCTTACATGAAACACTATGAACCAGACAAGCTGTCCCAAAGATTACATGGTCCTTATCCCATTGTGGAGATCAACACTAATGGGACTGTGGTGTTGCAGAGAAGTGACAACGTATGTGAGACTGTCAATATCAGGAAGCTTGTTCCTCACAAAGGGAATAATGCAAATGCCACTCCTGAAAATCCAGCAGAAGAGGAGGAACCCACTGTTGAAAATATTGAAGATATGATTGCTACAGTTTAGTAGTAAGTAATATTGCAATATTGGAGCAATATTACTGTCCGGGATAATGCAACAGATACGTACGTATCTGTATCGGAAATATACGTACGTAAAGGAAACATACGTACGTACTGTAAAGGAAGCATACGTACTTACAGTGCTCCCTCGGAATGGATGGACATACCATTCCTACCTACATATCATAATGTACTATTTATACATATAGATCATACGATCCATCATATTGAGGATCGTGAGAGGTCCAAGATACTATTCGAGAATACCTCACAAAGAACAGAGATGTCACGAGTCCAGAATGGAAGAACCTCCATGTAGATTCCCTACCAGGTCTACATGAGGTTCCAATCGGAACTTTGGAATTCTCGTGAAAGCGCTCGGTATTCTACGAATAAATCTAATCTTATAATTTTCAATTTTCATACACACTTAAACATACTAAGAGTACACGTAATCTCGTGCAATAGTACAACCCCCCCATATGACTAGAATCCTCTCTTAATTATGATTTGAAGAATGTGCATATCATTTTTATGCAACCATTTGGGACCAAAAGATACAACTACTAGTAGAACTGTCAGTTCAAGATCAAAACAGTTATACATTTCTTAAATTAAACGGGACCAATCTAAACCATTGATTTTGGGCCCTCTTCGTTTTACCATGTGATGATTTGTGGGACAAAAATTCAAGCAAAAATATGGCCATGAGCACGTGTGTGT